ATTATGCTGTTTCATGCAGTTTTGTTCCTGCTGTGTTCCTGCTCTTCACTCCCCATTAGTACTTTTAATGTAATCTCATTGCTCCTTTTATTATATTAGGAAGAATGACAACAGAACTATGGATTTTTGTAGTACCCTGCAAAAACAGTTGTGTGAAAATGAATGGATTTTGTGCCATAGCTGAGGTGTTTGGATAGGAAGTAAATGTGACTCAGGTTGCATTTGTGAGAAGAAGTTATAGAATGAATAACATTTCAGAATCTCTATGCTGGCTTGAGTTTTTAGGCAAGAGTTTGTGTTTTATTGCACCAACTGCACCAGCAGGTTAGGGGGAATTGCTGCTGTGCTCCTGCTGGATATTCTACTTGGCAGATTTTAGTAAATGCGAAATATGTATTGCAGATTTTGCTGTTCTTTGCCTGCTTTCTTGTGTGTGTCCTTTCTGAAAGTCATGCCCCTAGGAGGAAAGAAGTTCTCATTTCACAAACATTCTGAATCTAGTAATTTCTTTATGAATAATTGTAATGATTGAATGGAAGATGAGTATCATGTAAATTGACTTAGATATGATTCCTTGAATGGTATATCTAAGTGCAGTGGTGAGAAAGTCCATTTATTCAAGTGGTTCCTGCTTCATAGCCTCTAAGAAAAATCAAATCTTAATCCCTAAGGCAAGGGAAACAGAAGTATTTAACAGATGTGCATGTATATTTTGCTAGAAAAAAGAGTGATTATTTTATTTCCTGAAATGCAATGGAGCCTTAGGAAGGCAATATAGGAGGACATGACCTCAGTAGGTGCAAAGAGCTTAGGTTTAACTGAGCCAATTTCATGACACAATGTTGGAAACAAAATGTCTGGTTAATATTCAACTGTAATTAATATTTCTAAACATTTCCTTTGATTAGTGTGTTCTTCCCATCTATTCACAAGTTTTTGAGAACTTGGGAAGTTGTTGAGCTAAAAAGTCAAGGTGGTGTCACTGCTATTATGTCTTCCAGTCACCTGTCTAAATATGTCACTTTTTGAATGTGAAAGACTTTTCTCTGAAATGGTTTGATTGTTTATTTGTTTTGTCTTTAAGATAAAGCGCCTTTGTCAAAGAGTTTGTTACTAGTCCCAAGTGCCATCTCGATTCTATTGACTCTGCTCTTCCAACACTATCAGAAGTTCTTTGCTTATAACCTACAAGCTGTAAAAGAGGATTTTCAGGTAAGAGTCTGTTCACTTTGTGTGAAATGAGACTGCAAACTGTGGTTTTCTGTGCAATTTCCCCCCACAGTCTGTTAGTCCTTTGGCTCTTTCCCTTTGTTCTCTGCTGTAGATCAGCTTGTTCTTATAGTTTTTTATATAACCCCAGTATGCTGCTTTTTGGAAAACATGAAAAAAACTGATCTGAAACAATCAACATAGCTTTTAATTTATTTTTCTTGTCTGGGAAACTACTTGGTTTGTGTTGTTTTTCCTTTCAGGCATTGGCATGTGTAAACTTGCTGTGAATGAAGTGTGACTTAACCCATTTATTAATACAAGTATTTTGATATGAATGTCAGTGTCTTATTGTGCCTAATTTTTGAGGCTGAAGAAGGCTACTTTGATTAGGCATGCTGATTATAAATTAGTTATTTTAACAACAGAGGCCATAATTTTCATTCTCTATCTAACTGTTGTAGTCAGTTGTGGAAAACTAAACTTTGCTTGTTGAATAGAACTGCTGCTTCTAAATTGAAAATTCCAGATGATGGGGGAGTTTGTCGTGCTCTTCAGTAATTGGCTGAATTGGGTAATTTCATACTCATTCCTGTTTCAAACTAAGACACTTCATCTTTTAGATATTGTATCTTGTAACATTTTATTTTAAATTTAATTAATTAATAAATTTTAAATTAAATTAATTTAATAGTATCAGCTCTAAATGTTGAAATAATGCACTTTGATAAGTTCTGTGGGTATTTGTTTTGGGATGTTTTTAATTTTTGGAAGTGGCAAACTACTGCTCAATAGAGAAAGGTTAGCAAATGCCTCTGTATTTATCTTACCCCACAGATATTACAATTGCATCAAACAAAAGGTATGTAGTCAAATTAATGTCTTTGAGGATGCCAGCTGTAGCCTGTAAGCAGTAAAAGATTATTAGACCTAGCTAGTGATCTCTGTGCTGTTGTGGTCTCTGTAATCTTTCTTGTCAGAAACAAGAGCTTTATTGTAACAATAAATTACAACTCTGCAAGAGCACTGCTCATACTTACCAAGTATCTTGCTGATGCAGTGCAGTGAAAATACACAAATGATGTCTGCCTTTTAAAAATGTTACAGCCAAGTGTTTGAGGAGGGGAGTGAAAAAGTCTGAGAAGCTATTCAAGTTTTAATGGAAATTGTGTGGGTTTGGGGTTTGTTTATTTGTTTGTTTTGAGATCTGTCTTCAGAGGAATCCTCTCTTTCCATATGTTTGATCTGCTAAAAAACAGTAGTAGCTGCATTTTGTTAAAAGAAAACATCTCTACCGTCTCTTAACCATGAACACTTGCAAGTATGTGTAAAAGCTGTGACACTTTTATTGTGGTGCATTGGGGGAATTTGTGAGTTTGGATTTTTTATTTCATGAGATCATTTCATTTATTGCCACAGCCCTTGGAGCAAGCTATGTACTATATCATTGAGTACCTCTGAGATCCGAGAGAACAGATTGTTTAACTCCTGTCTGGTGCTAATATTCAAATGAGAACTCTTAAAAGAAATTTTGTTTAGAATAAATTCACCTGCAAGGGTGTGTTTAGTGGAAAGGTATTTTTTCAAGGAATGAACAAACATTTTGGATGTTGGATTTTAACACTTCTTAAATCTGGTAGAGAGCACACAAATTAAAGTGAACAGTTGAAGAAGAGTACATTTGATTTGGAAGGCAAAATATGTGCTGTCCAAAACTAAAGGGTTATTGTCTCCATACAGAGGGCCCTCAAGAGCAGTGAAAATGCTATGTGTAAAAGATCTTCATTACATCATATGTGTTTTTTTAAGCTGGCTAAAGCAAAGAGCAGTAAGGCTAGAAGCCTTTCATAGTCTGTATGAGAGCTGTTCAGTTAGTGCATGAAATATTCAGCTTGAAGGTCATGGCCCTGCCAGTCTTGACTTCAGGAGGGATCATAGTCAGGCTAGCATTTAAAACTGGGCAAGTTGACATGGGATAGTGGGAATGCTGAGTGGAGTGGATTTGGGCCAGTACTGTTTGGTGTCTTCATTCATAACTTGGACAGTAGGACAGAGTGTTCCCTCAGCAAGCCTGTGGATGATGTAAAACTTGGATTTGGAGTTGTTACACCTGTTAGTTCTGCAGCCATTTACAGGGGAGAAAAGGGTCAGTAGGAACATTAGTACAGCAAGGGCAAATGCAAACTCCTGCTCAGAGAGGAGTAACACCATGCACCAGTACAGGCTGTGGGCTGAACAGCTGGAAATCACTTTACAGGAGAAGCCCTGAGGGTCCTGGTGGAGGCTTAAATTGAAATGCAGCATTGAGGCTAAGAAGCCCAACAGCATCCTGAGCTGCATTAGGTAGGAAGAGCCTCACAAGGAGGCCTGGAGGGTGATCATCTCTGCTCTCAGTGGGAGCAGTCTGAAGTGTTGTCCCTTGTGCTGGGCTCCTGAGTACAAAATTGACCTTGGCATGTTGCGGAGAGTACCAGTGGAGGACCACCAGGGTGGTCAGGGGCTGGAGGATTTGGTGTATGAGGAGAGGCTGAGAGAGCTGGGATTGTTTAACCTGGGGAAGAGAAGGTTTAGGGTAGATCTTACCAGTGCTTGTAAATACCTCATGTGAGGGAGCCAAGCCCAGTGAAAAGACAAAGAGGCAATGGGCAAGAATTGAAATACAAGAAATCCCATTTAAAGATAAAGGTTTTTACTGTAAGACTGATGGGACAGAGGAGCAGTTTCCATCCTTAGAGATCTTCAAGACTTAACTTGGCATGGCCCTGAGCAAGCTGATCTGGTTAGACCTTCTTAGAACAGTTACACTGTACCACTTTGTATCTTGAGGTTGCTTCAAAAATATTTTTTTGTAATTCTAAATTCACTAGGGATGTGATTTACATTTGTATTTCTAAATGTAAAATAGGAACCTCAAAGTGTATTTTGAGTTAATTTCAATTGTTTATTTATTTTAACAGTTAGACATCTGCTTTGAAAATATTTTAGAGACTCTCTGTATTTCCCTCCTTAACTGTGCTGTGTTTCTCTTACCTGACTCCAGTATTGCATTCTCTCTGAGCACAAATTCTGTAAAGAATTTCCTTGAAGGAGGAGTGACTTAACATGATGATATTAACCTTCCAGATTTGGAGACTTGTCTGTGGAAGAACAATATGTCTTGATTTGAAAGACACATTCTGCAGCACTCTGCTCATTTACAACTTCCGAATATTTGAAAGAAGATATGGCAGCAGAAAATTTTCAGTAAGTTCAATTTTGAGAGTTTTTTAATAGAAACTTTTCTATACCATTTAGTCTTGTACTCCTGGATGAATACTGAAGTTTTATTTCTAGCGTGTTGTATAGAAATGTGTTATAGGGTTGTAAAGATAATTTGGTTTTAATAAATTTAAATTTATATTGATAATACCTTGCAGTCAGTGGATTATTCTGATTTCTATTTGCAGTATCACTTGTAAGATCAGACTCGTCAAATTTAAGTTTGGAAACAATCTTACTCTTGATTCTTTAGTATCTAGACAAGTAGACCTGGAATTAGTTGTGTTCAAGATTGAATTTACCTTAATTTACCTACCATAGAGGTTTTCTTATTTTTTGTTATATTTAGAGGTATATTAAAACCTTATTTTGAAACTGTTGAATTGATTCAAATTAACCTTTTTCTTTCCAGTCTTTTTTACTGGGCGCTTGGATGCTCTCAGCTTTTTTTGATCTTCTCCTTGTAGAAATCACTCAGTATGTATTTGGCATCACCATCAACAGCTTGCCTTCTGGTTTGTAAGTAGCTCCTAATGAATTGGTTCCTTTAGATATAGTTTCAAGGGATTGTGTTCTCAAGATTTTATTTTGAAAAAACCTTTCTTGGTGTAACTCTTCAAATTAATTTAATCCTCTTTTGAACTGAAGTGTAAAGGTTCTTGGCACAACTACTGTAATTTCAAACATTTATTTCTTAGCTATGATTTGTGTTTAATTTATAATTTATCCATACAATGTTTGGTTTCCAATCTGTTAGTCTCATTTCCTCTGTTAACATGATTGCAACATGGCTTGCAGCACACAGATTATTGCTGTATTTGTTCAGTCTAAATTGTTTGCATCTGTTCAGTTTGTAAAAACTGCAATCAGTTTGGGCTGATTACTGTCTTAAATCAGAAAGGCAACAGGACTGTAAGTCATGTGCTTTATGTTCACTTGTAAATGCACATGCATTTTGTATTGGTATTTTGTATGTTTTTTAAAAATTGAGTGCCAGAGGTTGTTACTCCATTTTGTGCTTGCAGCTGAAGTTCTTACAGCTTTAAGGTGTTCAGTGGTTCAGTTTTGAATAACCTATGTTTGAGATTTCTGCACTTAATAAAATACATGCATATTACAGTAGGACCACAGAGCTTGCAGCCCTTTGTGGTTAAACTTCTGGCAGATGAGATCACACACACTTGAGTTTCCATGTGTTGGACACTCTGAGGTAATAATAAAAGCTCTTGGAGTAAGATTTTTAATATTAAACACCATATCAGATGTTTTCTTTTTTATTTCTGCTTTTCCAGAGAATCTGTTGAAAGTATCTAAAGATTGATTTATAAGGGACAAAAAGCATGTGTTTGATATTATAAAAATATGTTTTTTGTAGTGTCTGAGTATTCAAAAGAAGATGAAAGCTTGAGTAGCTACTGCAGTTACTTGTGTTTGTTACCTAGAATTTGTTGCTAGGACATAGGCTGCTAATGTGTCTGGAGAAATTAATATTTTCCTATATGTAAAAAGATATTTTGTGCAAAAGTAAGGTGTCATAAATGTGCACACCATACCCATAGGTAGGTAATCAACAGTCTGACCATTTTACCCTTTGATGGTATTTTTATGACTGCAGAATGTAGTCAGTTACAAAGAAATCTGCATCAAATAAGTTTTTAATTAAGTAAAATATAAATATTATCTACATATACCTTCTCATTAAGTCATAATGACTTTGATATTGAGAGAATGAAATTAATTTTAGAAATGTGGGATATACAGTAGTTTCAGGAGCATTTGATTATGCAAATATAAAAAATTCATATATGCATTGCATCATAATTCTTCAGTGTTGTCTACTTTATTGTATTAATAGTCACTTTCACATCTGACAGTATTCACAGTCGTTTGAGGTGTTAAAAGCATTGGAAAGTTTAACGCTGGTGCTAGGTTTTAGTTCATTTCAGGTGAAACAACAAAAGATGTTGAGCAAATAAAAAGAAGTGCAATTATTATTCTGCTTCTGTCACATTTACAATGCAACAAATATAGCTGTTACCTTTGGTTATCGAACATCCTTCTGTGTAGCTGAGTGCTAGAATTTGGAAAAAGAATCCCTTGTTTGCATTGTAAAAGTCCCCTGACATTTTTCCTCTTTTTATATCATTTCACTGTTAATATTATTGAGTGATCTGACACTTCCAGTTCGAAAACTTTTCCTGCGCACGCTCCGAAGGTAATTGCGATAAAGGATTACGCTGATGACTCTTGCCTGGAATTGTTTGGAAACAATGTAGTACAGTATAACATCCAAGCATGTGCTGAGATTCATGAGGAAGGTGGTAAAGGCTGCCCAGGGATTGTAACTTGTATTTTCATCTTGCAGCATCAGGAAGGCAAAGCAGATGTGGAAGGGTACAAAGCAGATGAGTACCTGAGCAATCAGAGTAACTATGATTCTTATGGATCTCTCCTTGGCCTTAGGCTTCAGTTTGGAAGTCTTGCCATGAATAAAATTATAAATAATGACTAGGTAACACCCCATCATGATAAACAAGGGGATCAGAAAGAAAAAAATCAACCGACAAAAATTCAGTGTATTTACTTCCTTTAAATGGATGATATCAAGCATTTTCATGCAGGTGGTGAAATTTGAGGCTTGGTCTGGATCAGATTGTAAAAACACCAACGGGGATGTTGTTGAGAGGGTCATTATCCAGATTCCAGCGCAAGCCAGCACAGCTTTTTTTGTATTTTTGAGTTCTTTGACATGTTTGGGCTGGACAATAGCCATGAATCTGTCTACGCTGATGAAAGCGAGCAGCCACAGAGCAATGGCTGGGTAAAACACGGTGAAAGCCCCGAGGATCCGGCAGAAGGTATCTCCAAAAGGCCACGCTTCTGTCCCGTGGTAGATTATCCGGAAGGGCAGCGAAAAGATAAAAACCAGGTCAAGCAATGCGACGTTCATCATATAAACAGTTATAGTTGTTCTCTTCTTGGTAGTGCAGCTGAACACCCACAGTGCTGTGGCATTCACCAGCAATCCCACTGTGAACACAAAGCTGTAGAAGACCAGTGATGCAATCCTGTATTCTTCTGGGTGGGAGTTTTCTGGCGTCATAGTTTAATTGAACTCAGGAATAGTTGTTGCACTCCATAAATCCCCTACAATTAGATAAAATATGGGAAGTTATTCTCAGTCAAATAAAATCTGTCTTTAAAAACAAACAGGAAGAAACATCCTAAAAACAAACATCCTTGTTTTAGGATGGTGTTCAGTGATGAAACTATTGTTTAGCTCTGAAATGTTCTAGTTTTGTTGCTTTTTCTGACTGCAAATACATTATCATCCTCTGAGGGAAACATATGTATTTTCAGACTTGTGCAAATTGTATTTATAAGTATGTTTGAATAAAATATTTTTATTACTTACGGGGCTTTTAATATAAGGAATTAAAAAGTCAAGATTGGCATTTCAGGTGTGCATCAGTAGCTGATAATTAGATTGAAATAGTTGTATTTGAGCTATGACAGGTACTTTCTAAAGAAAATATTTCTTCAAGCTGTCTCTGTTCAAAAAATTCTTGACTAAAACTAGTTATGAATAGAAACAAGTCAGCATGGCATTTAGTGACATTTGGATATGCAGAGTATTGACTTTGCCTTTTATCTGTGTAGGACCTACTTAACTCCCAAAAGAGCAGGTGCTTGCTTATTAAAGACACTTAAAAAAACTCTTTGAGTATCTGCATAGCTTCTCATAATTAGTGTTTAATACCAGGGCATCAGAACCACCCACCCAAAATATGAGTAAAATTAATAGATAATTAGACTTCCTGTTTAAAAAACTAAAAAGGAGGAAAGCAGCACAGTCTCCAGCCTGGCCATATGGGAACAGTATTTGTCTGGGGCAAAAGTTGCTGTCTGGTAGCCAGCTACCCCAGAGCACAGTTATGTTCCTTCATCCTGCTTCTTGATCATAGAGGTTGGACATCTGAAATGTCCCTGTGCAGGCTGAGGTGATGAGAGCTGAAGGAGAGGGTCCCTGGTTTTCTCTGGAGCCCATGAGGATGGCAGGCCTTACCTGGTGCTTGCATGAGTGCTTTTTTAACTTTCACCCCCAGCACTTTCCTGGCCCTTTGTGTGGTCACAGTTTCATGACTTTATGTGGGAGGGTTCCTCTTGTCTGGCCTTTTACCCAGCCCTGTGGCAGCTTTGTGAAGAGGAGGAGGAACAAGTTAGTTGTTTGTCTGATCTTCCTTGTGACAAACGGCCAAGGAAGTTCCACAGTATCTGTTAGGCACCAGAACTGTTCTCAAGAGCAGAAGGGTGCCTAGTTTCTGTGTGTTTTATCTCCAGAAGTGAAGAATGCATTGAAACCCAGGTTTATTGTTACTGCCCATCTGGTTAACATTCTCTGTAATGTTACCCAATGTTTCTCAGTGCTACAGGAATGCATAGGGTATTGAACCAGTGTTTATGAATCTGGCATCCTGGTTTGACGCTGGCAAATACCAGCTGCATTTGAGAAGATTACCATGGAGTAACTAACTTAAATATGACTTATTAAATCTTTATGTAGGTTAGTTTCTGCCTTGAAATATAAAATTTGGAATTCTAATTTTCTTACAGTTCTCCAGTTTACAGATGTATTAAAGTTATGCATAGAAATATTTAACCCTTAACTTTGAGGTATTTTTTTCAGCTGTACAAAACAAAAAGGGTGTGTTTTGTGCTCAGATGAGGACATTAGAATATGCAACAGAATTTATGTTTTGTTGGGAAAAGCCATGTACGTAATACAAAAAAGAGGTTTGGGGGGCATCTTTATAAATGCCTCTCAAATTCCTCATTGCGTGAAGAACCCTAATAATAACAAAAATAAAATAATTAAATAATGCTAGCAAACCTTATTGAAGGTTAGATGGCATATGCTAGAAAATGTTGTGCCTGTGCTAGCAGCGTAGTTAAAATATTATCTGGCACACTGTTCCACTTTCACTACTGTTGCACAAAATTGTCCAAATGTTGCTTAATATACACCTCCCCCTTGCCCTTGCATATTGTGGGGTTTTTTTTCCTCTTTTGTTCTGTTATTTTTTCTCTCTTGCTAGTGATTGTGTTTGACAGTTCAGAGCTACCAAGCTCAATATCCTGAGTGATTTGGCAGGTGAATTGAGTAGTAATGTATAAGACAGGTAGAATAATTCACTTGAATATTAAGAAACATCATGGATTTTAGTTTTGATTTTGCTCTTGTCTACTTTGGACTTGCAGTGACTGCAGTTAGTTCTGGTCAGGTCATACTTTCAAAATAACCAGTAGCCTGATGTTGATGGGAAGAGAGGAAGCTGAATCTCGTGTCATCTACTTTTCATGCCTTGTTTGCTGGTTATTCCAAGTTTGCAACAGTTTTGAGATATATCAAAGAGCTGACTTGCTGTAACAGAAAGGGTTTGTGGGGTTGTTTTTTTTTTCCTTGGTTTTTGGAGACTGTTTCCCAACTTTGTGAGTTTAAATGCATGCCAGTTAATTTTTAAGAACCTAAAATGTAGCATTTATGTAGGTAAGAAATATTGAGATTTTTGAAAAGCCTGTTACTTGTCTGCATTTATACACAATTGGAGATATTTAGCTTTTTCGTTGGTACTTTTCTGCTTGGAGTTCAAGTTGGTACCTCCCAGGTCAGCCCAAGCATATCTTTGGGTGCCTCTGGGTGGATGGTTTTGCCCTAGTTGCCATTTTTCATAATGGGAACATTTACTTATTGGTATTGATTAGAGCACTTGCTGAAGAGCCCTTGGTTCACTGGTTTCTGGAAGACTTGTCTGTGTCAATTCTGAATGACTACTCTGTTGTTTATCTCTATATTTTATCAATCTTTTAATTTTTTAATGATAACTAACATTCTGAATGTCTAATGTGGATTGTGAAGGCCAGCAGGTGCCGTGTACGAGACAAAGATGTTGACAGCAAAATCACAATTAAATATTTTCTTTCAGATTCCTAATGTAAGTTAGATAACAGTGGTTCCATTTAAAGGGCCATGTGTGTATCTCTCTTCCCAATTCCCCTTTTTACTTTGTCCCTTATATTTGGTTGCAATTCCCCAAGGATAACATGGCTTTCACTGAAGCACAGAGGTACCAAGTAACATGATCTCCTGCTTTTCATTTCATGAAAACAAACATTTTTCTTTTAGTGATAAATGTACTTACCAATGTTTTTGTTTATTGCATACTCTTAAATTTTTTGTTAAAATCTTAGAATCCTAAAATCCAGTATTTATGGTACTATGCTTTTACAAATGCAATCATTTTTCTTTAAATGTTATTTATAGAATGCTGCTGATATTTTGAAAGTGCATTAAAAATTAAATATCTTTTCATTAGTTCTAGAATTAATGCCCATGTTCTGCTTCTGAACAAAGTCTCTTAGCCACATCTATGAACATCCAAGTTACTTTGTTAGCACAGCATAAGGGATAGTTACTCACCTTTTGTGCTCTACAAAATTCCTTCAGAGATGCTTCTTTCATGGCCCCAAATCTGTAGAAGGTTTAGACTTCCTCTTCTTTGCTCAGCTTCACTTAGCTAAAATAGCTCCTCTTCTCAGGCAGGAAACAATGACGTAATCTCGCTAGTGCTGAGCTCTTTTATTGGTCATGCTTAAAAGTTACTATTTCACATAGATGGGGTGTGTGTGAACTGGTATTTCTATTACCTTTCAACAGTCAAACATTTGTAATATTTCCAGTGTGGTCAGACTGGGCTGTTGTACTACATATATTTTCAACTTTTAAATATTTGTGGTACAATGGAAGCATATTTTAAAGTTTCCATAAAAAGGTATCTGCAAGAATACACATCTTGGTTATGCATAAGTTTGTAATAAGCACAATGTAAATGTATTTTCAGTAGAGCATAGTCTGGTGGATTTTTTGTGGAAATCCCCATTTTATTTATATTGCCTTGGATAGTAGTCAATCTGAAAGTGACAGAAAGTCACTGCATTTGAAATGAGAAGTTTGATTCACTTGAATACACAACTTTGTTTATGCCTGTAATTACAACATTTTATTTACACAGCAGCAATGTTTCTATTTTTTATTTGCTGTCTAAATTAATAACATGCTTATTTGAGAGCTTTGCTGAAAAATGCTGTATGAAAAGAGGTTTTAGCCTGTGTTAAAATGGAGTAAAATCTCTCAGCTGTGTCTCTACAAGTCATCTTAGGTGGGATGGGAGTAGTCACAAAAGTTTATAGGTGGAGAAGACTAACTTCCCGTGTTTCCTCTTGTCAGCTTGAGAAAAGATCCACCCTTTAGAAGAGCAACTTGGAGAAGGAGCTCGTGCCATATTCTCTGTAGAGTGCTTGTTGCTTCAGGTCTCTGGCTGGCAGTCTTTGGGAGGTGGTAGCAGAGAGCTCTGTGTTGAGTAGGGGAGCAATAATGTTTTGGTCTCCACCTGACATGTGGCCAAGAATTTGCCAGGATGTTCCCTTGGTGCCAGAAGCAACAAAGTCCTGCAGTTCAGAAATGGCCAGAATCAGGTTTGTTTGTGGGAAGATCTTTCTTCACTGACTGTAAAACTAATGTGGGTAGGTGATCCTCACTTAGTGCTCAATATAACTTCTGGGAAAAGAAACCCCTCTGTACTGTAAGAATGTAATTTATATCAGCTGAATGGGTTTGTATTACCATGTAGGTGTCTGCATGGGTCAGTGTGATTGTTTAGGTAATTATAGGGAGGGACCTGGGCGTGATCTTTGGTGTGTAGATTACCTTTAAATATTTAGGGTTTTTTTCTGTTCAGGGGAACTAATATGAAACTTGTTTTTTTGTGATCATTCCAAAGGCCTTTTAAATGCAGTGAGCTACAAATCCTGCCCAGATCACCCTAGGGAAATATAAATTTATTTAAAAGCACTTAATATTTTAGGACTAAGGTGTATCTTAAAAGGGCTAACCAGTGCTGAAAACTCTCCAGTGGCTTTATCATTAGTAAAGCAACTCCAGAGCATGCTTCAGCAGAACAAAGCACTGTTTTCAACTGTTCAGTGAAATTCAGTGCCATATGCCTATCTTGTGGAAGACAAGAACTGGACTTTTGCACTCTCCTGGGCAAGAGTACTTTATTTTGGGTAAAAATACAGGATTGTGGAGGCACCTTCTAAGCTGAACTGCTCTGTGAATGCAGTTTATGTATTTATGTTTATGCTAGAACAGGCAAGTGGACAGCCAGTGCCTCCCTTAGCAAAAGAGGAAGTACAGAAGTGATTCTGGGTTTAATAGGAGGCAGGCAGATGTTGAGTTTGGGATCAGAGAACCCATATGCTGTGAGTTGTCTCTAAGCTTGTTGTCTGCTTGGGGGAGGGTGGAAAGTGTGCCCTCTTGTAGCTGTGTCATTTTGTCTGGAAGGTGGCTGATGTTCTGACCCTGCAAGGGAGGTCATGCCTTGTGAGGGCAGCTGAGATCAAATCCCACACTTTACACAGGTGGCTAGCTGCAGCCCAGTTGAGTCTGCTGGCAGGTTAGCCATCCATCTGGTTTGCTGCAGCATGTCAGTGTGTGTTCTGCTTTCACTCAGGCTTTTCACAGCCTTCCTGGTGGAGAAGAGGCAGCCAAACCTCTCTGCTGCTTGTAGGCTGGCAGGCCTTCCCCCAGGCATGGAGAGGCAGCTGTGTTTGGCAGCAGGAGGCTGAAAAGAGGTGTTTGCAGTACCCGCAGTTGCATACTCCTTGTCTAGGTGCTCAGCTGGCTGCAGCTGCAGGCTGCTAAGCATTTGGAGATGAACACCCAAGTCAAAAGTTGCACTGCCTGTGGTTTGTGAGAGGCAGTGGGCTGCTCTGCAGTGCCACATTCCCCTGTTACTTTGGTTTCTGCAGTAGGAAGCACCTGGCTCTATTTTTATTTCCTTTGCTGTTTTATCAGCTAGAAATGAGTGCCTTGCATTGGTTTCCCACAGATGGGTGAGTACTTCCTCTGCTCCAGCTTCTACTGAATTAAATGCTCAGTTCCATCTGGGGTCTTCTTTTGCTATTCCGAACTTTGAGCAGTAGACAAGGTAATTTTAGTTGCATTATGTTGTGCTAAAGCTGGTTTTAAGTAGTTAAAAGCTAAGCCAATGTGCTTCCTGTCTGAGGATAGGGCAGAGTGCATGTGGTCTGCCATGATGTCTTCACTGACTGGTAGTAAGCCTCAGAAGAAATGAGTTTGATCACTTGCAACAACCTCAAAGTGCAGCACTAAAGAGATTGGTTTCATGCTGTTGATTTTGCAGAATTAATGCACTGCTGGTTCTTTCAGTGGTTTAGTCATGGTACAAAAAAGTCTGCTTTTCCGTTCACTTATTGTGTAATGTAAGCCTTGTCCAGCTGATACAGAGAAGGTCTGCACACAGTGGGACAGAAGGATTACCCTGTGCCTCAGTTTGGCAGGGAGCTGGCTTGAGCTCATGTTCTTCTCCTTTCAAACTTTCCACTGTTGGGATCTATTGAAAAGAAAGAACTGAAGCTTCTTGCATGGCTCACTGCACCAGTGGTGCAGGAAGCAACTCTCCCATGTCAGTGTGTTAACTTACTGGCTTGCTGTTGTGGGTGAGTTCACATGCACTTTTGGGTTACTGTTCTCAACCTTGATGAAAACTGGCTTCATTTTTTATTCCCATACTGTGTTCACCACAGTGAATACTAAAGAATAAACTACTGGTTAAAAGTTGGCACTGAATGCATAAACTTATTGCAGTTGTTTCCAGTTTTGCTGTGTGTGTTACTCAGAGGCTGTGTCATGGCACAACTATCTCTCCTCTCCCACTCATGTGTGAGGAGGTATAAATGCAGTGTGCAGCAGAGCTGAAGGAATGGAAAAGGGAGCAGCTTAAGAGAACTGCAGCTTACTTAGCTGTACCTGACATGTCTTATTTACTGTTATAGTGAGCTTTCTCTTCCCTGTTTTGCTAGTACATGGTATGGTTTGAGGAAGGAGATCTTGTTTTTTCCCTTAAAAAAAATCAACATTCCATGTTTCTCCTGGGTAATTTTGGTTTTTTCCTACCCCTCCTCCCTTCCCTCCACCCCCTACACCACCTCTTGTACAGCCAAGACACACCCTGTGTCACTAAATAGCCTAAAAATATACAGTGCATCTGGCCTGTAGTTCATCTGTTTATCACTGTCAGCCTTTGAAAGAAACAATACTTTACAAATTAATTAAAGTGAAAGTTGCATCTCTGAGATGTCTGTGACAGTGGGGGTAGTGGGCTGGAGACAGTGGTCTTTTACACATCAGCAATCTCAGTGTATCCATGGTCTAATATTAGCTCATGGCAAATACCTGCACAGTTCCATGCTCCTTGATGACCCCATGTTGCCTTTGACAAATTCCTGTGTTCTGATTTTTGGGAAGCAGCTTTCCTAATTCAAAAAGTGCACAATTCTCATGACAGATATTTCATAGTTTTTTAAAACTGGCATGATTGCTTAACTTTTTTATTTTCTTTTTTAAAAGCTGCATTGTCAGGAACTAGTTAGTTCCAGTTTGGAAGTATCTAGGAGAGGGTTTTTTTCCAATACTCTTTCCTTACTAAGTATGGCATATGTGATGTTTTTGCTATTAAACTGCTCTTAAAGGTCTCAGGTGCATAAGAAGTATTGTTCTGAAACCTGATATGCCTCCCAGGAATAGAGTTAGTGTTTCAAAAGAAATGGCTTATTTGGACCTGTATGTACTCAGATTCCTTTGATGAAGTCAAGTGCAGGAGTAGGGAGAGTTGTTCTGACTCCTCCAGAGTTCAGGAGTTTGGACAAGCTCTGTCAGTAACTAGCCCAAGTAGATGTTATCAGAAATGAAACAATTAAAAATTGCTACATAGGCTTTAGCAGAGCAGTGAAGGGTTTAATCAAAAGTACCTGTAGTGAAAGTGGCCTGTGTGAATTAGAATAAGCACTTCAAATTCAAGGGTGCCTTACAGTGTGTTCCCAGCCCTGGCAGGTAGCTTGCTTTGCAGAAGTGATGGTCTCCTAATGCTGCTCTGCCTGCACCCCCTGTCCCTGGCACAGATGAACCAGCAGCAGTGTATTGGGGTTGTGAAGCCTGGGGTGCTGTGGTGGAGTTGAGGTGCCACAGGAGGAACATCAGGATGATAAAGGGGCTGGCATAGTCCAGGCTGGGACAAAGCAGCCTGGTGCCTGTTGCACAGCAGTGAATCTGGTTGGTTAGGAGCTCTGCTGGGTAGGTTTGCTTGCTGTGTAGGCTCAGCATTGTCCTTGGAGGAAAATGAAAGAGCTGCTGAGTGCAAGTGTGCTCAGAGCACCAGGACAAGGGCAGCTTGTGCTCTGAGCTGGCTATAGTGGACAGCAGAGCTGGCTGCAAGCAGGTGATTTCAGGGTCACTGTCTTTTCAGGTACAGAGCTACGTCCAGTCAGAGGACTCTGTATTTCCCAACTAACTGTTCAACTACAAAAATTATATCTCCTTTACACACACACACACACACACACACATGCACATTAAAGGGAAGGGGCTGAAAATCCCAAGCCTAGGAGCGTAAGTCAGGGCATAAATCTGAAGTTCAATAACGTAAGCAGCTGTTTTCCTTATGTAGAGATTGTGTTGGTAAAAGTGGTTTTAAGATAGAATGGAACAGTGAAACTGAACTGGGACTTGTGTGCTCCGTATTCTC